ATTTACTCAACCAAAATATGCACATGGATCAATGTGTTTCTATTTTATAATAATATAACCTTGATCAAGTTCATAGTGTAGGAAACTTGTTGCAAAAATTTTATCTAGTTGGTATTTTGTCACCATTAGAAAAAAAAAAACTTTTCCAAGAAGAGATTTGGAGGAACAGATTGAGTAATTTAAGTGTTCTTCAAACTGTCTTCCAGAATTAAGATTTGGATGCACAGTTAACGGACAAGAAATTCTGTTCAGAGCACAACCTATTTAACTGGAATTCTAAAATCAATGGTATACTATATTATAAGTATTAACTCTTTTTTGAAATTAATACTAGGTCTGTGGCATGTCAAATGCTTTCCATAACAAATCCATCTACTACAACATAAAAGGAACAGACCAAAAATAGTGTATGAAGATGGACAATTGACATACCATAATTAAAAGGCAATAAGTTTACATGTTCCAAATAATTCCCCTTGAGTAATTGTAGGTTTTTCCCCACTTTACAAAGGACAGATCTAGATTTACTGTATTGTACAATATTGCTAGCAAGATTTGTCAGCAACAGTAAATTTACCAATCAATACCTACCTGAAACAAGTCTGTTTTCCTCATATCCTGTACAACAAAACAGACTTTAGGAGTATGGTATATGAAGAAAGCTTTGAGTTGGTAAATTGTAATGTAGGTTAAAGCTTTCATCAATATCTGGGAACTGATTAAAATATTAAGGTCAAATTTCTGAATGTTCAAGTTTAAATGGGATTTCCTTTGTATAGGAAAGGCAAGATTTTTTTTTAAACACAGAAGTTACACATCACAAACTGGATCACTGTTCAAAAGGATAGGCGTGCTTTGTGCTATTGACTTAGCACTTCATATGTGTTTGCATTAATACATTATGTTTATCTGGTATAAAAATAGGCACTCTTGATTACTTTATAATTAGGCTGCTGCTTTCCTACTGTGCAGGATTTAGAAATCATTACCAACCCCCCCCCAACCCCCCACCCAGCTGGTAACAGATGGCAGTAAGATACAGTCATGTTTTAATATAAAAAGATTTAGACAAATAACAGCAATATCCAAATAAAAATAGATTTTTTTAAAAAAAAAGACTGCAGTTAATACTAATTGAAATCATAGTTTAAGCCATATGAATCCAGAAATGTTTCTTATGAAAAGACTTAAGATCTAATGGTTTACAGACACTTCTTTTTTGATAGATTATTTAATAGCAAGATTCTGTACACATTTACTCAAAAGTCAGGACTGTTTAGGTCAGGGGTCACCAACCTTTTGGAACTCGGAGACCACAAAACTGATAATTTTAAATCCCAGGGACCACTAACCGGATCTGTAGGCGTGGCCTAATTTGTGGGTGTGGCTTGGTACTGGGCATAGCTGGTATGTGAATATTATAAATATTTATATAAATACTGAATTTTTGATATATAAAAAAGAGCAACTTTTACCCCAAATCAGGCAAAGTAGGCAGGCAGATTGAGTTGCTCACAGAATCACAGATTCATTGAGTGATCTGTCTGCCATTGGCTAGCTCAGTCTGTCACATAAAATTTGCTTGCCATGAGTCTGCACTGAATAATAGAAACTTCAGTCCTAAGGGAGATTCAGCTGTGCTTAAAAGCAGAGCCAAAGATCTAAAGACTAACTAGAAAGCAAGAAATCCAACCATTTCCTACTTCCTAGCTAATCTAAATCTCCCAGCACAGCAGAACACCTGATGGTCAGAAAAATAACAATTTAGCAGGCAAGTTTGCTGTGTAAGGAGTGAGTGAGCGGGGAAGGTTCCCGCGGGCCATGTGGGTGGCACAGCCTGGATTAATTGCTTTGGGGGGTGCTCTGGGGGTGAGATTTCTCTGTCTCCCACTAAAATTTTCTTGCGGCCCACCAGTGGGCAGTGGCCCACGAGTTGGCGACTGCTGGTTTAGGTCACTAGTGGTTATTCATAGATAAGCAAATGAATGAGTGCTATCTAAACTATTTGAGGATAATCCAATCATTTCAATATTTGGCTTTTTAAATTAAAATGCTGACAAAAGTTGGCAACCAATATCCCATAATCTATATTTTATAAATGTAAAAACAACTCATCAAATGTTTGAAGAAGTGTCTTTACCTACCCTGGTGGTTAGAATATATAATAATTTCATATTTATGGAAGATTGTTACATAGTCTGATGTATCTTATCTTAACTCTTTGGATTTCTCCACCAAGAAACATCAATATCTAACTCTATTTTTCCAGTAGAAGCCGACAAAAACAGTTGGCACTTCTCCCACTGAAACTATCCAATGTCAAAATGAAAGAAAGCTACACTGACAACATTGCAACACAAAGGAGTGCACAGACAAATCTGCTTTTGGGTTGAGGGAAGGATGAGCAGCAAAAGCTAAAGTGGTTTCTTTTACAACCTAACATTTTCTGGCATTATCACACTGAACTAATCATTAATGAACACTTGAAAAGCAAAGCTCTGCATTGCTTGATTATTTTTATAGAGAAAGAAATTGGCAAAAGTAGATGGCCCTGCAGCATTCTCTACAATTCCAGGTAATTGACTGATGCGCCATCTGTGCAGTGAGCATGGCTGTTCACCTTCATCACAGATGCTGCAACCATTAGTTGTGGAAAGGACCCAACCAAAAAACATGGGTTTTTTAAAAGTATTTGCAAATTTGACTGGAGGATAAGCATTTCCCATACAGAAATATTTTTGACTGTAGCTTGCTTTCCCATACAGCAAAATTAGTCTGTGATAGTTCCCATCCCTCTTGCAATGGAGAATTATTGCCCTTGTAAAGGATCAGCTACCCATTTGTTCATTCTCTTAAAAGCATTTTATCAGGTTTCATCACTACAGCAAATGTAAGTCTGATAACATCTTCCTCCTAACAGAAAATGTGGACTTGCGCAAATAATATTAGAAACAGATAATTATGCAAATAGTCATTTTGCTTGCAACATATTAGATAATCAGTTGATAATATACATCATTCTTTGGAGTCTATGTAAGTGAGGTGACATGGTTGCCACTTTCTTTTTGCAAACAAATACCGGAAAAATCCTTGTAGTTTATTTCAGTACTTCCTGTTGCTAAAATACATAACAGATGATGTCAGCCTTGAGTTATTTGGTGTAGAGTCAACTTGTGGAGTATTGCTATTAATATTCTTATTGCGCCTGCTTTTGCGCCTTTCAGCTCCCCATCTTCTTGCAGGCCAGCAGCACACCGTCAAGGAGGTCCTAGTCTATTTTAGAACTAAATGGTAGCCTTCTGCATTCTGTACTGTAGTGACACATAAGACAAGACAAAACCAAGTCAATTTTTAAGTAGTTCCTAAAAACGGAGTTTTCATCCTTTCTTAGGATGGGCCAGTATTGGGTAAGCATGGGGTCTGCTTTTATAGCTTATTAGTGGGAGGGAAATCAAATAGATTGCTTCAAAGGGACATTTTGAGTAGTCTTCAAAAACCTCTAAGGGAATATTTATGCTGCAATATTAAATGAATTTGCTGTGCCTTACATACTTAATTGGATAGGTATAATACTTTTTTCAGGACTTGGCTGCCTACCACTCTATGTGCAATATTCTCCTGCTGACTTAAAGAAACGCCTTGTTTTATGTAGTGACACATTGCAAAGCAGTAAGGACAGAAAATTCAGTAAATCCCAGGAATCCTAAGCAGGTTTAGTCTGGTCACTGCTTGAATCCTGTTCTGTAATACTGGGGTAGGGTGGGAGAGGGAAGTGGGGAAAATTATACAGCCCCCAAGAAGGTGAAGTGCCAGGTGATATTACCGTGTTTCTCATAAAATAAGGCCGGGTCTTATATTTTTTTGAGCCCCGAAAAAACAGGCCGTCTTTTGGGGGGTGACTTAATTCCCCCCCCCTTGCATCCTCATCTAGAGCGCCCCACGGGCAGCCTCGCCACCAACCGCTCCTAACGGGTGATCATGGCGAAGCGCAGAGAGCTCCCTACTCCCACCAAACACCTTTGCTGCAAATCCAAGTCCTTTGGCACCTGCCGCTGTTGCTTTCCCTTCTGACCATCCCACCACGTTTGGAGCTGCCACTTCCATGTTTGGAGTGCCACTGCCATTTGGAATGCCGCCGCCATTCGGAGCACCGCCACCATGTTTGGAGCTGCCACTTCCGCGTTTGGAGCTGCCGCCGTGTTTGGAGTGGCGGTGTTCTGAATGGCGGTGGTGCTCCAAACAGCAGCAGTGCTCCAAATGCGGAAGCGGCAGCTCCAAATGCGGACATGGCAGCTCCAAACAGTGGCAGTGCTCCAAACAGCGGTGGGGTTCTAAACACGGAAGCGGCAGCTCCAAACGGCAGCAGTGCTCCAAACAGCAGTGGTGCTCCAAACATGGAAGTGGCAGCTCCAAACGCGGTGGCGGCATGGGCAGAAGGGAAATCAACAGCGGCGGGCGCTGAAGGTCTTGGGTCTGCCACAAAGGTGCTTGGCAGGAGTAGGGAGCTCTCCGCACTCTGCCATGATCGCCCATTAGGAGCAGCTGGTGGTGAGGAATTGCTGCCCACGGGGTGCTCCTAATGGCAAGTCCCCCCCTTTCCCCCCATTTTGCATGTTTTAAAATAGGCCTAAATTTGGGGGGAGGGGCTTAATTTCATTTTATGCCTAGAAAACATGCTGGGTCTTCCTGTTGGGGGAGGTCGTATTGTTGGAGAAACATGGTACTACCTCCTGGTTTCTGTTCCTCTGGTGGGATGTATTACAGTGTGTATTAGAGGGAATACAGATAATCCTCAATTTATGATCACAATTGATCCCAAAATTTCTGTTGCTAAGTGAGACTTAGACTAAGTGAGGTTTGACCCATTTTATGATCTTTATTGACACACACTAAATGAATCGCCGCAGTTAGGTTAATAACATGATTTTTAAGTGAACCTTGACTTTGTCAGAAGATCACATGACCCTGGAACACTGCAACTGTCATAAATATGAGCCAGCTGTCAAGTGTCTAAATTTTGATCACATAACCACAGGGATATGCAACAGTTGCAAATGTGAAAAACGATCACAAGCCGTTTTTCAGTGCTGTTGTATTTCGAATGATCACTAAATGAACTGTTGTAAGTCGACTACCTGTAATAATTTTCACTAATTCCTCCTCTTTATATCCTCATGAACCTCCTAGAACAGAGTTGAAGAGGGTGAGGTCCGTGAAATGAAGAAGGGACCTCTTCTACACTGTTTCAGTCTTGTAAACAAAAAGCACATTTCTGGAGTAGAAATTTGGGTCCACGGTGTCTTGGACATTTTGGCAACTGAGAATATATATCCAAAATTGAATGATGGGGTTTTTTTTGTCTACACACACTCAGGCTTCAATAAATCTTATCAGTCCTGAAGAAGCCAGAACTCTGCTTCTATTCACAGGCAGATCTACCTACCTTTTGTTACAGCTGCTATGAAACAGGATTCATCTGGAAGATTTCTGACCATCTGTGATAACCAGGAGAGAACAGTGAAAGGTTAGTTCTTGGCTAGACTCCTAAATGTCTGCTTAAAAAAAAACTCCAGTCTGATTTACCGGAGATGGGAAGATGGGGAGCTCAGCTACAGATGGTGATGGGGTAAAGGGAGATTGTTAAGACATATAAAAGCCAGTGGCAGTATCAATAGGGGAGGTGTGTGTATATGTGTACAAAGAAATAGATGGGCTGTAAAAGGCTCTTGAAGGTGGGGTGGGGAACTTAATAGAAACGTATTTTAGTTTGTCTGAAATGCTGTTATATAAGAATCCTCCAAATGGATTGTGCAAAGTAAAGTGCTTCTTAGCTTAAGCAAAGTGGTTTTGAACTGCTGAGTGACCAAAACTTGCATTTTTTATTTAGAGCAAAGATACCAAATTTGGTTTGTGAAGGTCTCCGGCATGGCATCTGTCTACTACAATACTGTGCATATGCTATAATTACCTCTCAGAGTCTAAGACAGGTTTAGACCCATCTTGCCTTTTTGTGGTTTTAATCTTTTAATTACAAAAGAAGACAGGAAACTGGTTTGTTGCAGAGCAAAACACCTACAGTCTCGTTATTTTGTCCAAAAATAGTTTGGGTACCCAAAGTTAAAATCACGGGGCTAGAACATTAGAGTTCTCCTAGTCTAACCCTCTGCTCAAGGCAGGAATCCTTATATCATCCCAGAAAAATGGTTGCTCAATCTTTTCTTGAAATCTCCAGTGGTGGAGCACCCACAACTCTGATTAATCGTTCTCATTGTCAGGAAATTCCTCCTTATTTCCAGGTTGGATCTTCCTCTGACAAGGTTCCACCTATTTTTTCTTGTCCTGCCTCAGCTGTTGTTGAGAATAAATTGATCCTCTCTTTCTTGTGACAGCTCTTCAAGTATTGGAAAACTTCTGTCCGGTCTCCCATAAGCCTTTCGTTAGACAAAGTTTCCTCAGGCATTCATTATATGATTTAGCTTCCAGACCAGAGGTGGTATTCAGCAGGTTCTGACCAGTTCTGGAGAACCAGTAGTGGAAATGTTGAGTAGTTTGGAGAACCGGCAAATACCACCTTTGACTGGAGATTTTACAGTATCCTTCTGCTGCCATGCCCACCAAGCCATGCCCACAGAACAGGTAGTAAAAAAAAATTTAATTCCACCATTGTTCCAGACTCCTTATCATCTTTGTTGTTCTTCACTGCACGCTTTCTAGGGCCTCAGTATCTTTGTTGTAACATGGTGACTAGAACTGAATGCAGTATTCCAAATATGGCCTCACTCATGGTGCTACCATTTCCTGTGTTCTTGATGCTATCCCTCTCTTGAGGCATTGGCTTTTTGACAGCTATGGCACACTCCTGACTTATACTTAAGTGTTGGCCCACCAGAATACTTAAATCCCTTTCATAGTTACTACTATTGAGCAAGTACTGCAAATCCTGTACCTCAGCACCTTGTTTTTCCTGTCTAAGCACAGGGCCTTACTTTTCTTGCCACTGAACTGCATCTTGTTAGAGTCCAATGCTTAAGCCTGTCAAGACCCTTCTGAATCTTGAGCCTATTTTCCAAAGTAAGTAATTTGTCCCATAAATTTTCTTTACATATAAAAATAATGGTTAGTTGCAATCTAAATGCTTCCTTTGGGAATGCATTCTTTCCATAGGAAAGGAAGGGAAGGAAGGAAGGGAGGGAGGGAGGGAGGGAAAGAAAGAAAGAAAGAAAGAGAGAGAGAAAGAAAGAAAGAAAGAAAGAAAGAAAGAAAGAAAGAAAGAAAGAGAAAGGAGAAAGAGATAATCTTCTTAGTCAATGGCAGAGTCCCCAATTATAATGAAGGAACGCTCTGTCTGCTCCCAGCCAGCCACCTCCATGGCTGTCAGTTTAGAGAGATTCCGCATGTTCTCAAGTGTGTTCATCAACCCTCCAAAATTGGGATTTCCAGGGTTCAGGAAAAAGGGGAGTAGCAAAGTGATTGTTTCACTAGTTCATAATATGGCTTCCATATTACATGAAATTGGTTCTTGTGACTTAGCACGTTGCGTGACCTCTGCCAATTGTGGTAAGGTAAATAATAATAATCCATGGTGCGTGCCAATTAGGAAGTCTCCAACTCAGATCTCATTTCTGTCAAGAAGTGATGAAGTGGCTTTAGGCAAGGAAATACTTTTTTTTTTTTTCAGAAATCTGCAGCAAAGCAGGGATATTTTTACTGGTTTGTCTTTCTGGATGGTTGGCATTATTTTAACTGAAAATAATCTATAAAAATCACTGATAGCTGTTTTGGTCCATAAGAATTTTTTCCCCAAAATAAAATTGAATTTTTTTTTAATGACTAATAACTCATTACACATGCACATGGATTTTGAGCTACCCAGAATTCTTCCATCTACATCTGTATGCATGGTGATAAAGCTTGAGTCTACAGTTGTTAACTGTTTTAAAATGCAAAGCAAATGGAATTAATGCAAGAAGGTATATGTGTTGTGTTTGCAGTTCCCAGAATTTCATGCCATCATGAAGCCAAATTGGAGAAGGCAAGATTAGACCAATAACCCCTTTCAGAAATTCAGTATCTATTGAGAAGACAATTTGAAAAGGCTGTTTGGCTGAGAAAGATTACAATTAACTTCTCTTCCCGCTTCTGTCCACAGCTAATTCACTTCATTTGGAGCAAATTTTAGGTTGGATTGTGTGTGTTAATTCTATGGAAATGTCATTGAACCTAGTGTTTTCTAGATATGTTGACTATAGGTTTTGGAAGGACGCATGAGAGCATGAGGAAGATGTGTCATGTGGATATTGTTCTAAATTTTCACAATCTGAAATCTAGGAAAATGCAGTAGCTGAAACTGTGATCTGATCTGGATTCCCCAATCAAGCAATGCCTGTTTATAATATGTCCTTTCAAGCATATTTGGCCATAATCCATTCTCAACTGCTGAAATTACTTTATGGAAGAAGAAGAGTCCAATTCATTGGTTTCAGCCAAAGTTAAATGCTGGCAGAACTCACAAAAGATGCTGTGGACTGAACAAATAAAGTCAGCAGAGGGCAAGAAATGGCTGGTTTTATCCATATCATATTTGGGATTAAACTATTATCTCCACTTTACCATGTTTATATAAATAGCAAAACACATCTAATTAAATCCTACTTAGTTTTTCAAGAAAAAAAGCTGGAGATACAGATATGTGAAAAAAAGCTTATCCACTTCTAAACTTACTACTAAACAGCATGAAAGAATACCTAATAGAGTACCTTGTTTAATGAGGTGGGTAACTATGTAATAAGCAAACAAGGAAATAGATAAATAGTGACTGGTCACAAGATCCTCCCATAATGCTATTGATAAAGAAAGAGACAGGGATGCTATGGGACTGCCAGGACTTTCCAAGTACAAAGATCAGCAGACGTGAATGAGGGCTTTAGGCCCTTTGAAGTGATCTTTGCAGCCAGAATCTTGTTGCATTAAGCAAAGATTAATCTCCTTGAAAGTCCATGGTCAGAATATTACAAGAATAATAACTGTGATCTTCCTATCTCTATCTTTTAATCTTTGGAGACAAGGATTCAGTCTTCTGTGTTTCGGAGAGGTATGGCTGAATAAGGCTCATTCTTAAAATAAGTCTGAACCATACCTGATCATTAACAAGGATGTGAATTCCTGTAGGCCCCTGTTTGGAAACTTGCTGGACCTGATTGGCTGGGACGCTAAGCAATTCTGCTAATTTATTAGTCAGCTCCGTGGCAGTCAGTTCCTCCAGATATAATTCCTGGTATATAACTTTTGGGAAAGAAACATCAATGCGTGAAATATTGTGCAGTTTTAAGAAATACAATTTTAAAAAATGATTTATACAACAATTATGTGATCGGTGCTTAAAAGTTGTGAAGGAGAGACTGTAATCTCCCAAAAGAGCAGCATAGCTCCCTTGAGCATCATTGTGCCTGCAAATTCCTCCCCTGCTGCTTGCCACACTCCACCTCATCTTAATTTGTTTTGTAGACTCTTTCATCAAAACCAGAAAAAAGAAACGCAACCACCTGGCATGCTGCAATGTAAAACACCAGCTTCCATCATCCTCATTGCTTCCAAGAATGCCTCAAAGCCCTAAATGATTCCCTTAGGCATTCTTAGAAAATGGTTTGGTGCTTTGTTTAGAGCAATGCCCTTCTGGCAAGAAAAGCTGAGAAGGGACAATGAGTACTGACTTTGATCAGTTTTGTTCTGGGTAAATTAGTGTTTTTGCAACCAGCTACACCTGCCTGGGAACCATTTTGTGAATAGGGAAAATGTCTTCCAAGACAGCTGTAAGTTGCTGGAAAATTCCAGAGCCTCTTGTTTCAATGCTTTGCCAGATCGGTTTGTTGTTTTGCTTAAATTTACATAGATGCCACTTTTCAAAGCTGCTGATATTAAGCAGAACATAAACATAGTACGCAATATTGCATATTTTTAAAAATGCAAAGCACTGAATGTGTGGCTAAAAGGCCTCCTCAATCAATGGAGATGTGTTCGGATTGCTTTCTGGGAGGTGCATATAGGTACCCAAAATCATGTGTGAAATAATTCTGACTTACCAGATGCCGGGTTTGGGGGAGCATTGTTCCCACTTGTTTCTAGTTCCTTGGACACATAAAGAATGAGACGAGGGCGCACAGTCCTGGAAAAACAGAAGGAAGTCAGGCCACTTTCTGTGATGTACCAAGACCTGGCAGGATAAAATGATTTCAAGGATTAGCTACAAAATTCTCACCAGCTGGAAACTCATTTGATGGTGGCAGTGTTGAGAGGGGATTTGTGGGAGGAGCAGCCTAAATAAAGTCAAGAAAACAGCCACAACTGTGCAACTGAAGCCCCGCTTCCTTTTATAATTCAGGTGAAACAAGAAGGACCTCAGTCACGTAGAACATAGTAAATGATCTATGTGACTGAGGTCCTGCCCCTTTTACCTAAATTATGAAAGGCTTGGGGTTTCAGTTGCGTAGTTGTGGCTGTTTTCTTGACTTTTTAGTCCACTCCTCCCACAGACACACACACCCCCAACATCTCAATTATATGGTTGCTGAATGGTATGAGTAAGCTAGACTTCTAAGTTCACAAGTATCACATATATTTTTACCGCAAGCTTGGGATGGCCAGGGACAAAAAAAAAAGAAAGTTTAATAGCCTGAAAGAAAATGGAATTTGACCCTCTTCTCAGTTCTCAGATTAAGGAGCCCATCCTCTTTTATATTTGGCTATTCTCTGAGCTTGTCGATCAGAAAGGCAGGCAGTTCAGCGGTTCGAATCCCTAGCACCAAGTAATGGAGTGAGCTCCCACTACTTGTCCCAACTTCTGCCAGCCTAGTAGTTCGAAAGCACGTAAAAATGTAAGTATAAAAATAGGGACCACTTTGGTGGGAAGGTAACAGTGCTCTGTGTGCCTTTGGCGTTTAGTCATGCCAGCCACATGACCATCGAGATGTCTTTGGGCAGCGCTGGCTCTTTGGCTTTGTAACGGAGATGAGCACCGCCCCCTAGGGTCGGGAATGACTGGCATGTATATGTGAGGGGAACTTTTACCTTTATTCTCCCTAAGCTATTTTTATAAATTTCCCCATTTTTTTTAAAAAAAGTATTAATTTGGGGAGAAGAGGGAATTGAATAAATTAAATTAAAATTCAGTTGTTATACTGACAACTCAATATAGCTAGCAGGTTGTAAAACAGTATGGGAAGGTATATTTAGGTTTAAAATAACAATAATTAATATAGAATAGGAAGATACCTTGGAGGTTATCTAGAACAATTGCTCAGTGCAGGATTCCCAAACTAGCACATGTCTCCTAAAGGCCATCCAGCCTCTGAATGCATGAAGACTCACCAAAGGCACCTATCTCCTAAAGGCCATCCAGGCCTTTAATGCATGAAGACTCACCAAAATATATAGCCTGTCTCACTAGCTGGCAGCTCAAATAGTCAGGAAGCTCCTTGTTTGTCTAATCTGAAGTCCTTCCTAATAGTTAAGCCTTGGCTCTGGTTTTCTTCTCATGTAATCATTGAATCACAACAATATACTTATTTTGAGAGTGGATTAGATTTGATTTTACATTTCATCATGTGTTTATATTAAAAGTTCAAGCTTGACCTTTGGTGACTTCATGGGCTGTTTTGTGAACTTTCTTTGGTCTCCTAGGACAATAGTTTCATTCTTTCCCAATGTTTATTTCTCCTTTAATCTTGCTACCTTTATTCATAACTCCATACCTTGCTTTTAGAGCATTTGAAAGTCTAATCCCATCTGCCATTCCACAGATCTGTACAAGATCATTGCGGGACAGTTTGAGCAAATCAGTACCTGCGGGGAGAAAAGAATTTGAAATTTGCTGATAATTGATCATTTTCAGGGAGCAAGGCAGAATTGGATAAATGTTTATTTTGCTATATTCAGATCCATCACAATGCACAATGTAGTTACAATTCTTTTTTTTCATATTCACAATATCAGAGACTGGCAGAGCCCATTCTTCATTATTATATTTTATTGCATGATTAATATATAGGGTGTCTTGCAGAGTAACTTAAGAAAAAAAGAAGAAGAAACATCTAAGAAGAAAGTTGTAATTTAAATTCAGCTTTGGTATTTCCTTTATCCTCTACAGAATAGTAGATATATATTTCCTAATTTACGGAATGCTGGAGAAAACTGGGAGGTTCTCCCTCACTTAAGAAATGTGTGTGGGGTTTATTTCATGGTCTGATTTGGGAGGCCATAAAAGGCACAGGCCTGGGGGGAAAAAATGCAAAATTGCAAGGTTACACAGTCTTGGATGAGTTTATTGGCATCTTCACCCTGGAGAAGAAAAGAAGTCTCACCTGTGTAGCTGGCAAAAACCCTGGAATAATTGGAGAACCTGTTTTTGAGTAACCACTGTTGAGTTTCCAAAATGGAGGCACTTGGACTCAGGGTCTGAAAACAGGCAGACAATTTAACAGGCATCTTTAACCAAGTCCACCAAAACAGGTTAGAAGAAACTCTCTGATAACAGATTCTTTGGAAGGGTAGAAGCTCTTGTCTAGACTATTGGGTTTTTTTCAGGGCCAAATTGGATCGCAGAAAATTTATTCTGGAACTGAATTAGCCCTTATGAATCCTGTAGCCATATTTCATGATGTTCATATAATACATTAAGAAGCCATCTCGTTCCAAAAACCTCTGACAAATGCAATAATTTTAAATAAATGCTTTCTACACAAAAATAAGTGTCAGAACTCCAATGCATCTTTTTTAGTCGTTGGCCCTCAAATTAGCTAAGAAGTCATATTCTCTGATTAAAAACCTCTCCTCCTTAATCCAGATGATTATAGTTGATTACTGATTCATGGGGATTAGGAAATTCTTCAATGCATGCTGGAAATATGTTTTTTTATTATGGTTCATGTATTAAGAGTAAGTGTTGCTGTCACATGAATTGTAGAAAGTATTTTACTTCAATATCAATTAGGTAGCTAAGTAATTCACATTCTGAGGGATAAAGACCCCTTTCAAATGTGAAACAGTTACTTTGAGTGCAAAAGAACCCATGCTATTTTTTCTAGCTTAAAATACTTCCAAAAGCAATACAAATACTTTCATTTGTGGTCAGCAGCTGTTTCAAACTCAAAATAGGCATTTTCAAATTCAGAATAGTTGATATTTGAAGTATTTTGCCCACTGCTAATATCTTGCTCCATTGCTATGGCTCCTGATTACATGGGTAAATATTTAGATTTTCATTTTGTAAACCACATGAAAACTATCAGAATTTTCTTACATTTATTGTAACAGTTGGAAAAGTTAGAAGTAATGAAAAGGAATTCTCAAAATCTGTGCTTTAAGCAGCTTCATGTACAATAAATTCAGTGCTCTAGGCAAAATATTGGGGAGCCACCACCAACCTGCAGATGCATTGAACTACAGCTTCTGACATTTACATATGTGGAGTCTATTGTAGTAGGAAAAACTGGCTATGGCAGAAGTGTATAATGTAAAGCAGAAATAGTGAACCTGGGGTCTGCCTGGTGTGCTGACCAGGGGTGGGATTTACAGGTTCACACCTATTCGTTAGAAGGTTGTTAACATTCTAAGCAGTTCGGAGAACCGGTTGTTAGAAGAAATTACTGGCCTAATCCTGTAAGAAAGGCAGGAAGGAAACATTCTGGTGTTGCTTACAGAAACTGTCTTTCCGTTAACCCTTATTACATTCTTGGCAGGACTAGACTTCCTATCTCTGGAACTTCTCTGGAGTTTTTTTCCCCTCCTTTGATGATACTTTGCTTGTGTAGAGTGACCATTCAAAGTTACAATGACATTGAAAAAAGTGACTTATGACCCTTTTTCACACTTACAACTATTGCAGCATCCCCACAGTCATGAGAGACCAGGCGAGAAGATGCGTGCCTCGATGTGAGTGATATTGAGTTGGCCCTGCCCAGCCATTAACATGGCCACCAAGCTACATCTACCAAATAAATCATGCCCACAGAACTGGTTGTTAAAAGATTTGAATAACACCCCTGGTGCTGACGTGAAGTTCTGGGTATAACTTACAATTAAGCTAGGCTTAATGATGTTGGGAATTGTGATTCAGCACATCTGGAGCAATAACCCTGGAGCAATAAGCCATCGGGAGCACCAAGTGTTACCCATTCACAATTTAAGACAATATATTGTAGGTAGTGGATGAGGTATCCTATGAGTTTGTTCCTCTTCCCAATAAATGAATGTTGGGAATAGCAACACCATTTAGCTTAACATTTTAATTAAAATGTTGATTAGCCAAACATCAATTAGCTGCCAATTTGGGGTATTTTGGATGTTCTTTCATAAACTAAATTTCATCCATTTTTAAAAATTAACTGGAAACAAAATGTTACCACCAGGGGGCACCCTTACATTGTGTTTATTTGAGTGCAAAGTAAACACAGACAGTTTATTCAAACTTTTGACAATCCCAGCTGACATCACCTATTAGTAGATTGTGTGGCTTCATCAGTCTAGTGTCTTTGTAAAGACAGTCATTTCTGCTGATCATTTTAGTCTACTGCTGGTAATTTGCAATATTCTGCCCTAAAGCAGGGAAGGCAGGATAATTAGCAAGGTCATCAATGATCAAGTCATCTCATAGTTAACTAGTAGAATGGTTCACAAAATGCAACTTCTCTGAAAGCATTTGCTTTAGTTTACTGAAGAACAGGATCTGGACAAATTCAAAATACCAAAAGATCCACCTGGATTTTATTTAAACTTCATTTATTATATTTTAATAAATGAATAGTTTATGCATAAACAGTTCCACCTGCCTACATGTACTATTCGTTACCTCTGCCATGCTCTCTGATGAGCTGTCCAAGGCATAACTGGGTGAGGAGCAGACCCTGCCAAAAAGAGCAACAAAGACAGTTTAGCTTACAGATATCCCAAGACCAAACTAGAGAAGGAATGCCGTTACAGATGGCTCGGCATAGCGTACCTTTCAGGGGTCTGAAGTTTGAAGGGATGTGGAGAGACAAGACCAGGAGTTGGTGGAGGACTATTGATATTGCTGGAAACTTCAGGCCAAGGGGCACACTAAGGGAAAGCATAGGAAGAAATAGATGGGAGAAAAGAAATGTTAGATCCTGGAATTTGCACTCTGCAACTGCCGAATTTAAAGCAAGTTTATCATTTTGAAATTAAGCAGGATATTGTGGGAGAAGTCATGGCTGCTTGGCGTGTTGGTATTGACCATCCCAAGTGACATTTTACTGCATGCTTCATTAGCAAAGGTATGAATGCATCAGATTTTTTTTGTATAATCCCAGCTATTATAGTCTGCATAGTGTGTAAACTAATGGTTTAGTGAAATATGTGAATTCAGCCATTGTAGCTTATTCAACAAATCATTGTTAAAAATAAACCAAGGTGTGTGTGTATGTGTGTGTCTCTCTGTGTGTGTGTCTGTGTGTCTGTGTGTGTGTGTCTGTGTGTGTGTGTGTGTGTGTGTGTGATCATCATTTTAGCCATTGTGTATCCATTGCAGGATGAAGCCCTCTTCCGCATGTTTCCAACCTATAAAGTCCTGAGCTTTCTTTTGCCAATAGGGCCAGCAATACTTGCTGATGTCGTCGAACCATCTTGTTTTAGGAAATAAACATAGATAATGTTGTGAAATGTTATTTTTGCCTTTTATTTCAACCCCATAAATTCTAGATTCTAGGATTCTTCTTATCCTTGGACTGACTTCCTTATGCTGCTAATGAAAGTAAATTTTTAAATCACACAGAACTCTTTAGCAAGACAGCAGAAAAGGATGCGAGAAGAAGCACGAGTACCTCTGTCAATACTGTGCTGTCATATGAGGGCTGGTACTTCTCCCGCTCCTGGAGGGACTGTTTTTCAATCTTCTCCCTATCTGTTTTCTGTTTCCGGTCTGCTCCTTTGGGCTGGGGAAAAAACAGCCTCACTTAAAATATAGCAGATACTCAGCAACACGTGACTCATGTCAACTAATCATGCATCTCATGATACTTCTCTGCATATAATAATGTATGTTGGATAACTAGTAATAGAACATATGACCAACCTCTGTTGATGGTTTTATCTTCTGGACAATCTAACATTCTTCCTGCTCCTTAGATCCTCAATGTTCACATATGAACAGTATTGCCCAAGACTGTTACCACCCAACAAAAATGCATATGGATCAGCCTTTAACTCAGCTCTCATTCCATTTCCAAACAGAGAAGCCTGCTTGGCAGCAGTGCTGGCTGAAGAATACGTGGTGCCCTTAGGCCAATGTGAAGATTTCCATTTTTAGAATGATTTGGAAGGAGGGATAACATTGGCATCCCCTAAGGTTTGACACCCTCCACTTTAACTTGGCAATGATTCTTTAACTCTGTCCTGCTTTCATTATACTGTATCCAGGGCAGGGAACAGGAATTGTAGTATTCTTGTAGTAGGAATCTTTACTTTCAACCACCGTGTTTGCTCCTACTGAGTCAGGCAACATTACCTTGAAGACTTTGATGAGACAGCTGGCAGAGTGCAAGTGTTCCATGTGCTCGCCCTTCTCATTGGGCTTGAAGGTGTCAACTTGGATGCGAAAGGGGACCCCTTTTTCCCCACCATTCTTGCGAAGTGTGAACTCAGTACTAATGCAGTGGACCTGTTTCAAAGAAGGAAAGAGGAAACAGACAACCCACTCTCAATTGGGAAAAATGCTGCTGGATCAGACCATAAGCATATCTAGCCAGCAGATGGTCCCCAAGTGGCCAGTGAAGGACCTGGGCACCATGCTTTCCTTCACACACCATTGGTTCCCCATAATTAGTGTGGAGGGGCAATTAACTTTCTGGAGGTAATACACAATCACCAACTAATCAATTTTCTGCAGCCTTGAAATTCATAACAACTTGTGAAATTTCCTGTGATCAGCTGGAATGAGAACACCGATGGCTTGTTGTAGCTGATATTGTTGATCTTGATATTGGCAATCTGCACAGTTTTGGGGTAGAACATTTTTTTAATGTATCACCCTGGTTCCTTTTGTGTGGAAAGCAGATATTTTGATATTGATCTACAGCCTTTCTTTTCAAAGCCAATTTTGCATCCCCTGTGCATAAAAGCTGGGGTTATACAAATCAATTCTTGCAATTTGAAGGTCATTGTTTAAGAAGCAAAAACATCATTTGAACACAAGGAAGTGAAATTAGCAGGTAGGGTAGTCACAGGGTTGTCCGAATATAATAAAAATTGTGAGGGGATAATTGGTGGAGGACCCCCTAATATAATCTACTGCTCATTGACCATGAAATGTTCACTAACTTAGTGAGTTAGAACAAAGAAGAACTGATGGCTGAAATCCCAAATGAGGAACAATCCATGCTGAGCCATTTTGTTGCAGATTCCCCCTCCTCCATCTTTTTCATACGTATTCTACAAATTTCTATCATCATACCAGATATTATAATAAAATGATTTGGGCTTATTTGTTGTGTAAAGCAGTGACAATTTCAGAATTATGCGGGAAACAAAACTAGGAAGAGCTGAATCACAATATTGGTGTGGTCTTGTGGGAAACCTGCTTTTTTCTTATTTTTTAATAAGATTTTTATATTACCTTTATTTTATAAGTAACTCAAGGCAGTGAACAAAATAGCATTTCTTCTTCCTCCTAGTTTCTCCACATCAACAATCCTGCGAGGTGAATTCAGCTGTCCCAATCCTCACCCAGCCAGCTTTCATGCCTATGGTGGGACTAGAACTTATTCCCCTAGTTTCTGGACCAGCACTTTAACCACTACATCAAACTGGATCTTTTTTTTTTCCTGATTATTGGTGTGGGGGGGAGGGGGGAGGGGCCTTTCATTGCTTTTAAGCCTGTTGTAAAATCTGCACTCCTGTTTTCATAAAAGTAAATGAAAGGGCAAAGGGATGAAGACAAACCAACTGACCAGCAGGTTGCTACCCACCTGCACAAAGACCGAAGTGCGCTTAGTTGGGTCCCACAGGAATTCCACAGTATTGAGCAAAGTGGAGGGCATGTGGGGCTCCAGAATGCCCACAGACATGGGGATATCTACAACAGGCCAGAAAAAGGAAAAACCTATCAGAACCATAAAAAGGGAGCGAAGGATCTGCGGGGCAGGGTAAGGAGAGGAAGCTGCATGGCGTTAACCATGGAAATCCCACTTCGATCAAGAGTGTTTCCGATACTTTTCTGCCCCACACCAAATTGCTTCTCAACTTTTTCATGGGGATGGTTGGCTTGACAATCCTGCAGTTCCCTTTCCAAGGAAGGAAGTGGGGGAGAGGGTCTTGCAGGGTCAATAAAAATCAACAGGATGGTCACCACTCTGCCCTGAAGACTTTGCCTCTTGTAAACAAAAAATGCATTAATGATCATATTTTCTTGAAAAAAATAAAGGACAAGCCTGAAGAAAGAGCAAATCTGAAAGAGGACCATAAACATGTTATGTTTAAAATTTTTGTTTTACAAATAAAGCTTCAAGTGCAAAACCAAGACAATAAATAAAACTAAAGGACAGATTTCTATATCTTGACTTTTTTGACTCACTAAAGGGTACCTAAGTGCTTATAAGGGCAGCAAGTGTGTGTTTTTAATTAGAATGCTCCTATTGTGCGGTGTAATGGATGCAGGGGATGGCAAGTATAAATTAAAGTAGAAAGGTTCTGCCAGCCAAGCACAGACTAGGCATAAAAATGGGGAAAGACAAAATATTAGATGGTGGTGAAACAGCAGATAAGCCAAGAATTGTGTCCCAAAAGCTTGTAATGGGAGTGTGGTAGAGATTCACTTAACAACATTGGTAAAAAGGGATGTAAAACTGGGCATGATTTACTTAACATCCACCTCACTTAGCAATGAAAATTCTGGTAGCAATTGTCATCATAAATCAAGTGTTATCTGTACAGCAGAGCTGAAGTGATCAATCCGTTTTTCTCTGTTCAGAGCAGGCATTCTCACAATTACAATATCTTTGGAAGATTTCTATGAAAGCACATTCCAAGTTAGAGATTTAGGTAGATAATACCACTTCTCCCCCTTTGAAAGTACACCTTACCGATATCCAGGATGCGGTCACCTGGCCTGTTCCATCTCCATCCCTCTAATTGCTGGTGTTCCGTGTATTGCAGTCTTCGGTCATGGAAGACTACCCTGATTACACTCTGATCAAGAAAGGGGGGGAGGGGGAGGGAGGGGGAGGGAGAGAGCCAACATTTTTTAAATCCATTTGTACCACCAGAGTGTTGCATTGAGTCATAGACAACTGGTCCTTCTTTAGGCTGCACATAGGAGAAGTTATTGTGAGATTGCTTTAATTAGATTTAATGGTTGCACTACTCATCACACCAAAGAGATTTTTGGGGTGGTGGGAATGAATTTTTGGACTCTGCGATTTTTGCCTCAAAGACACTGAATTGGTTGAACTATACAAAGTTCTCTTCTGATTAATTTTCAGTCCACTATCTATTGAACAAGATTTTCTTCAGACAAACTCTGCAAGCAAATCATGATAGGAGTACTCAAGATCTGAGAGTTCCTGAAGAAAACAATTGTTTCTCTGGGAAATCATGATTAATTATGGGTTCTACCCATAGGCACTGAATTGGAACTTTTAGAAAAATAGTAATATGTTGCGTGAATGAGTTCCATAGTTTGTTATAGGATGAAGCTTCATGAGGACTCAATTTTCAAAAATGCCAATCAATTCTCCTATCCTATGCTTTACCTTCAGCAGCTTCCGTCCCTCAGCAAATTCACCTATTTTGGGATTACACAGCATCCGGATTTCATATGATTGCCCTGGAAAATAATAATACAGCATGTGGAATGTGAGATTGGCCAAATATGCCAAACATTGCCCCAAAATCCAAAATATCATCTTTTAATGTTCCATGTTTGTTCTCTAATACATTTTCAAATGCTTGTTATTTAAAAATACAAAAGCTATTAAAAACATTACAGCTGAATATTAGTTTATAATTTTTTCTTCCTTTTATTAGGACTGATGTTTATATATATTTTAAAATGCTGGGTGTGTTTTGAAGTAGAGGCAGTCTTAAGGGTTGAGCTCTTACATCACGGGTGTCAAATTCAATCATGTCACTTGATGTGACGTATTGTGAAATTTTTTGCCTTTGCAGAGCCAGGGTGGGCATGGCCCACATATGACCAATCCAGGCCGCAGGCCGCCAATTTGACAGGTCTGTAAAATGGTGCTAATCTATGATTTGCTTAATCATACTTGAAAAACCCATGACTGTGCTAAGACATAAATTCACCAAGCATGATAGCATAGTTCATATCACATATAAGCAAAAATATTCCAGTTATTTTACTGTTAATCTTACATTTAAATTGATCTTAATCTTAATCCAACCAATAACAATCCATAACCGCACTTCCACAGACCATCTATAATTTTGCTTTTAAAATGATCTGCTCCACCTTGTTTGTATAAGTGTTTCTCAATGTAAGCAACTGTCTGGATTTCAAAGTCAGTAGGGAATTCTGGATATTGAAATTCACACAGCTTAAAATTGCTCAGGTTGAGAAATACTGAATTATATGAATAAATATATTCACAGCAAGCAATAAAATTTTAAAAACATCCATTTGTGAAAATAATCTCTATTTCAGTAGAATTTATTTCTATATGTCTAAATTCAGTTGCTAAAACACAACTTGCATTCTTGTACCAATGCTATGCTGTGTTAGTGTTAAAGGCAGCCAAAAAGAAGTAACCCATTGTGGAGACCCAACCCATGCGGCTAGTTTTTGGTAAAATATATTGTGCAAGCCTTGACAATGAGTTAATTCAGTAATCAGATTAAGCATATTGTGTAAACACAGTATACAGTTCTAACAAAAGATCTTCTGCTGGATAAAATGCAACCTTTAGCTTTTAATTAGAAAGGCAATCAATCTTGCAATGTGTTAGGATTTAAATAGTTGAAAGCCTTATTGTTACCTGGTTCAGCTGTCAGCTCATGGAAGGTCTGTAATTTACCTTTCTCTTCCAACAGTAGAGACTTTGGGTGGTGTGTGTGTTTGTGTGTGTGTGTGTGTGTGTGTGTGTGTGTGTGTGTGTGTGTGTG